AGAGAAAGCCTTTGTCCTGTTGGGTTGTTCTCTAACCATCTCTGTATGCTTCTCTTGGAAAAGTAACAACTTCAGCTTCTTCCCATCTGTACAGAAGAATATTCAAATAAACCAAAGGCACTGGATTTCTCGCTAAGCTGAATTTCTTATTCATTAGGATCTTCAAGGGACAAACACTAAGAAAATAGAAATATAAAATGCAACCCAACTTCAAAACTACATTTAAGTGGCACAGCTCACCACTTTCTGTATTTTGTACAGCACCAGCAGTCATAATGGTAATTCAGCAACAAACAGAATTAGAAATGCACAGAGTGAAAACAAGAATCTTCCCATTCATCTAACACATGAAAGTTTTTTCCATGCAGAGCTCCGAAATCACCATTTCTAACCAATAAAACGCCCTGACTTTAATACCACAATTGTTTCTCTAAAACTCTACCTGGAAAAGTATAATGAATTTTTTTTTCTTTCAAAGATTTTTTTCCCTATCCTACTAGAAGAAAAAAATTGCTTTTGCACGGGGCAGGATCGGTGGGGCGGGGAGGGGTGCAGGAGAAGTTGGGTGACAAGTGGAAACACAAAAAGGAAACAAAAAACCCCAAGGATTTTTTACCTAAAACCCTTGTTTATCCCGCAGAGCTGAAGAGAATCTAATTTGTGAATGTCCTGTGCAACAACAGAGAACCCACACCGCAATTTAAGTGAAGACCGTGAGTCAAATGAACGTGGTAACGTAGCCTGTGGACATCAACAGGAAGGCAAACGTTCTTCAGACTTTCAAACAATAAAACATCCAGATGCTAAAATTCTATGCAAGAGAAATTACTTAGTTTATATTTCCCATTTCAGTTTTGCAATTATAAGCGGATCTAATATTATGGTTGCTTAATATAATATTATGAAATACTACTGTAACACGTAAACGTCTGTATGTAATCACGTAATTTCACTTCTTTTACAAGAAATTAATCAGTTGGAAAAAAAATTTACAAAAACGTGTCAGTGTTTGACAAACAGCTCCTCTGTAACGAGACCATATACATTTGTAAATTCAAGTTACTAATCCTGCAAGAGAGAAGTATCTGAAACATTTTCATCTTTTAAGATTAGAGTGTCAGAGTATGGCAGTGCTTTTCTCCTGTTTAGTTACCCTGACACTCTGCAAAGACTCACCACAGCTGCAACCGCAGCCCGAAAATCAGTGGACACTCTTTCAGAGAAAGCCTTTGTCCTGTTGGGTTGTTCTCTAACCATCTCTGTATGCTTCTCTTGGAAAAGTAACAACTTCAGCTTCTTCCCATCTGTACAGAAGAATATTCAAATAAACCAAAGGCACTGGATTTCTCGCTAAGCTGAATTTCTTATTCATTAGGATCTTCAAGGGACAAACACTAAGAAAATAGAAATATAAAATGCAACCCAACTTCAAAACTACATTTAAGTGGCACAGCTCACCACTTTCTGTATTTTGTACAGCACCAGCAGTCATAATGGTAATTCAGCAACAAACAGAATTAGAAATGCACAGAGTGAAAACAAGAATCTTCCCATTCATCTAACACATGAAAGTTTTTTCCATGCAGAGCTCCGAAATCACCATTTCTAACCAATAAAACGCCCTGACTTTAATACCACAATTGTTTCTCTAAAACTCTACCTGGAAAAGTATAATGAATTTTTTTTTCTTTCAAAGATTTTTTTCCCTATCCTACTAGAAGAAAAAAAAAAAAAAGTAGTCACCAGTAACAGGAATTCCCTGAAGAACTGGGTACACTTTGAAGTTGTTACTGCTTTTATTTCACAGACCACCACCTGTCCCTGTAAAGGTGTCAGCTAATCGCACGGAGAGCGCGCAGCACCAGCGGGTGTATTGACCTGCGCTGATTCCAACTGTCGGAGGGAAAAAAAAAAAAAAGAAGAGAATGAAACCACAGCAAATATTGTTAAAGGCACGAACATCTAAAAAAGTGTGCTGCCTGACTCAGCAGCCGAAATCCTACACGTGTTCTCTGTTTCAAAAGAAGGATGAACAGAGTTGTTAATGGGTTACAACAGCCTTGCGATAATTAAACCCAAACAATAAATGCTAAAAGCGTTTCTAAGTTAAAAAGCAATCGGCACCACTGTTGTTTTTACAGTGATAATAAATAAATTCACTCCAGTTTATATACTATTACTTGTAGATTCCATCTGAAAGACCAACCTTGAATTCTCTGAAAACATGAATTATTCCTGATGGAGGCAGTTACAGATGAAAGGACGTATTTCAGTGGTAAACTACGAACAGTGAAGCGACAGGGAAGTTTTCCTCAATAAGCGCATACAAAACATTGTCAGGGTTCATACAGACCGCTTTATTAAAGAACAATTCCATGGCGTGCAAAAACATGGCATAGTTGGCTTTATTAGTCAGACCACTGAGCCAAGATTCTTTTTCTGTCTACATGGATGAAGCCATAATTTGGTAAGAAGTCTCAGCACTAGAGAAAAGCAGGCTAGCTAGATGCTAGTGAACTTGTAACACAGTTGGACTTAAGAAAAAAAAACCAACCCACAATGTTATAGACAGGATGCATTCAACTGTACCACTAACTTGCAAACAATCATATCCTGTGTAGGTTTTTTCTGTGTTTTGTAGTAAAAGTTTGAGAGTAAGAGAACCGCACTACTACTAACAACCTTTAAAAAATATTTTTAAGACAAAACATTAAGCACATTGTTCTTTTAATTCAGAACGGTACATTTATAAATAGTACAAGTTAATATACTGTCAAATTAACAATATATTAAAATCATTTACACAAACTAACCCTTCCATTTATGATAACTGATTCAGCACGACAAAGCAACCTACATTATTAAACCACAGGTATTAGCGCGTATGTCTCATGGAGACAAGTTCACGTATAGATGAGCTGACGGTGCAGTAAGTCAGAACTGTAACTTGGTGACTCCTCTGTTCGAGAGCACTCCTGACCTTCCAGCAGGGGCACTCGGGGCTCTCCGGGAGCGCGCTAGCTAGCACGCAGCGGCATAAGCACACCAGAAAGCCCGCCACGGATGTTCCCAGCCTCTCTCAAAAAGGAATCCTGGTGGATTCAGCTGCAGCAGTTTGAGACACTCATCTCCCAGCACTTCGATGTCTGCAGTCCACAATGCCGTCTTCAAAGCAACAATCATTGGGATTTTATTAACCTATTCGCACTCGACTGCCTGTGTTATCTGAAGATACCGCAGCCGCGGCAGAAAGGATGTAGATCGGGCAGGTACAAAACTTACCTTAAACCACTATGGATATATTCAATAAGAGCTCCTTTGAGTAAAGCTTGTTGTGCCCTACAGTGAACTCTGTGCTACAAGATGCTCTAAAGATCCAGTCACAGAATTGAATCACCAAATAAATGACTTTGTTGATGAAGTTCAACAGCTGGCCATGAAAGCTGGCTATTCTAGTTTGGACCTTTTTTTCCAGCTTTTAAAGATACCAGCTCAGAACATACGGCAACAATCATTCTAAGGCACAGTACACAAGCATCTAAACAACCTTATAAATGATACAGTAAGGTGTGCTTTTATTACCCAATTTTATTCAATTAGACAAAGAATAATTAAAGTGTTCATGACAAGACATGCTCATTTTACTCCCTCCCCTCTTTTAACTTTTCCTGGCTCAAGTTTAGCACAGATTCAATCAAATGCAAGCCACTCAGTTAAAAAATGATCAAACAGATCTTCAAATACTTATGGAACAATCCTCAGGATGCTGAAGTTCTATTACAAATGAATCCTGGCATCGCTAGACACAGCAAGACGACGAGACAAACCCAGCTGTAGGTGACTGTCATGCTCTCGGTGTGCAACCGCTCCTCGGCAGGGGGAGATGTGCTACAGGAAAGGGCAAGCGCACAGGCTATTAGTGACACGGAAATCACTGTGATTAAGACTCATAATTTAACTTCCACTACAAAAAAAAAAGGTGACAGGAAGATTTCCACCTGTCTTCACATCCAGTTAGAGTCAACGCGACACTCCTTGAAGGCTTGTACTACCAGGGATGTTTGGATGTCCTCTCTATTCAAACGTATTCTCAGCTGTTGTGAAACAAGTTACAAAGGTCCACAAGGAGATGCTCCTTATCTCTTAATTAAAGCTTTGAAATCTTCTCCACTACTCTTCAACTCCTCTTCCTTGCTTGTCAGCATTTGCCTGCAATTTTCTTTTCAGGAGAAAAAAAAACCTGGACTAAATCTTAGAATGACAATTAAATATTCTCAAAATAAGGCTTACGTGTAGAGGCAGAGCCCCTCCTGCTCCCTGCCCTTGACTCCAGATTTCTGCCAAATTCATTTTTAAATGGCAAAGTGAAGGTCCAGTTCAATGTTCATCACTTTGGGCTACTTAGTTCTTATGAAAACAGACTAGAAGAGCCATCAGACGCTTGGTCTCTTTGCATGCGTATGACCGCTCGTCCACTTTATGAGGTCTCTTTGAAAGTTTTTTTTCCAGTAACCAAAGCTCTACTTTCCCCAAAAAGCAGGCGAAACCGGGCATTGCTTGGAAGTAAATCTACAGCAGATAACTTTTTGTGGTATTTAAAACCACAGTTTGATTGTCAGGTTTGCAAAAGTTTAAAAATTGAGTTGGGATGTAACAGACGTCAGTAGTGAAGCACATCAATTTCAGCCATTTCACTTCCATGTAGGTTTTTCAAGAGAGATGACTTGCCTATGCTAACTGTGGAAGTGTCAGCACTAACTCTAATTTTTGCAACTATGTTCACTTCCCTCAAACTACATACAGTCAGGATTTTAAACATCGCTCTAGATTATAGTACCAGTCTACAACCATTTAGAAATAACTTCCCAAGAGAATTATATTAGGAAGCTACAGATTAAGCTTAGTTGCACTACAAAAAGCCATAATAAAGAAGATGATATTAAAAACAGTGAAGTAGTGGCTGCACCATCAATATACCTTTGTACTTGTTCACGTGATTACGCAACAGTGAAAATGAACAACCAATTTAAAGAAGTAACACCTGGGGAACCTTAGCACCCTCCTTCTCCAAGTTCACGTGTTAAGAGGATAAAAGACATTAAATGCAATCTACTACTTGCTCAGTTGGCTGACTGAGCAAAGGGCTAGAAACCATGAAGTGAAACTGAGTGAATCCTGGAATTTTATTACAGGCAGCACCTAGGAAAGAATGGGAAAAAAAGAAAGGTATAATTTGCTGCATTTAGCATTAGTGTCTTTGTCGTTGTACTTTATCATCTAAAGACCCGGTTACTAATTCTACTACAATGGTGTAATTATTCTTTTGCAATCTGTTGAACCCAAGACATCTTGAAAGTAGTTAATTTTTAAGTAAAAATACAGTGCTATTGACTGCTGTAGTGCAATTAATGCCCTTATAATACAATTCAAAGCAGTAACGTAACTTAGGAAAATCTCTCTCTCTCTCTTTCAATCCTGATTAACTTAATGAGTTCCTCCAACACTAATCTCTTAAACACAGAACTATGGGAAATGAGAGATCAAAGAACAGCAATAAGCAGTCTAACTAAATAAGCCATGTTGATTAGCAAATTGTATTTCCTACTGATCTAAGAGTTCACTAATGAGATGCCTGGCACAAAGGCTGATCTTGGATTGCTTTGAAGTCATGTTTAACATTCACATTCTCCCTGCCTTATGCCATATCTAGGGGAGGCATAAGCATTCTTTTGTAAAACCTTCAAATTAATCATACACAGTCCAGGAAAACACATGAAGGTTGTAAATATTTTTGATTTTTACTAAGACTTGCATAAATTTTGTGAAAGTCTAAGACATCAAAATACAGAGAAAAAATTAAAATCTCTCAAGTCCACACTAGGACACAGTTGCCCTGCTAACCAGCATTTGATATTGCGAATGGCCAGTGTTGCTGCAGTGTTCAAAGAATTAATTTCTGCCAAACAGGTTTTTAAAGGGCAAAGTGAAGGTCCAGTTCAATGTTTACTATTCATCAGCTTCTGCTTTAAAATCCACCTTCAGTTTTGTACTTCGTGACCTAGATAGGGTCAACAAGCTTTGTCTGTTAAGCAAAACACATACCATAACTTCCAGTTGTATTGGCACATATAACAGCACCAAAGAACTTTGGAGCATACTTCTGGATTCTGGAAATCACTTTCTGACAGGCTGCTGTTGGGTCTGTTCCCATCCTCATATACTCCACAGCTTGATAACTGAAAAAACAACCAACCCCACACCCAGACAGTTAGCCATACTCCGCAATATATTCTAAAATACCACTGAGAAACCTTGATTCCTTTGAATCAGGAAAACGCATGATAAATAATCCTTAGCCAAATGTCATATTGGCAATTATTACTCACATTCTACATGAAAAGTAATTAGAAAAAGGACTAAAAGGGACTGCAATAAGTCATCTGTGACGCGTCTCAGTCTAAGGCAGCGTGGGATAACTCTGATCATTTGCAGTAGAAGAGGCTAAGCAACAAGTCAGTTCAAGAACTGCAAAGAAGCAGTTACAGAGTTAGTGGATTTATTTTTTGTTGCATGATTAAGTTTGACATTAAAAGTTATTACTAGTTTTCAAAAAGGCCAATGTCAAGATAATTTTTTGGAAGAAAACTGACCTCCAATATTACTAAAATCAATAATTTATCAGTAAAGTAAGCATTAAAAAACTTTCCGAAAAAACCCTAAAGTTTCTGAAAACCTCAAAATTGACACAATTTCTTTATTTCATGAATATGAAGGTACAATGTTTTGATCGAGACTTTGAGCCACTTGCACATTTTTTTGCGAGGCAATTTAAAAAAAATATTCTTACTCTAAATGAAAGAGTAATCAAAATGAACTTCCTTTGTATCTACAGTATCATTAGACAAATGACTGTATGGGCATTGCTTGAGATGAATCAGTTGCATTTCCAAAATGTCTTCAGAGGCAAAAAAATTACTTTTGTTGTCATTTTCTTTCAGAACCTGAAGATTAAAAGATAGCGCAAAATATAACTCACAAGCAAACACCACTAGATTTTGTTCTGATGAAAGATGCATATACCAAGACCAACTCTTGTTACACTAAGACTCATCTACAAACAGCATTAACTATAAATGCTACCAAAGTACCACGCAAGAGAACTTTCCTTGCATTTTCAGACTCCCTATTATCTTTGATTTATTCTAACTATCAAATAGGTTGAAGTTATCTGAAGATAACTACCTGAATATAAAGCTGTGTTTCACAGGGGTCTCTTCACTAATCAGAAACTCAGTAAGATGTTACTATCTCAAAGAAGGCGGACAGAAAATATGAGCAATTTTGCCCTGTATTTGACACTTCCTTCCCTTCTGGCAGCTCAATTCTATTCTTCGTTTTCATGTGGGAATATCTAAATAACATGGAATTAGGAAAGATCTGCATCTACAAGGAACCTGTGATTAACTATCTAGTCCGAGTTGTTTTCTAAAACCCGTTGGTGGCAACACAAAATGTTTTAAGCATTACAGCCAAATCCTTCAGGCTGCTAAACTGTAACGTACGCTTTTATTGATTAACCTCCTAGCGGAGCTCAGCTCGCTACTATTGTTGGTATCCGGTACCTCAGGATAATTCATGAAGTTGTCAACTGCCTTGTATTTCAAGACTGGCTTGGAACAGCTTGAAACTCATTAAGGACGTTGGTAAATATGCAACAGCTAGTAGGCATTCACAACTGCCACAGTTTCAGAAAAAGCACCTGAGTGCTATGAAGGCCACTGCTATATATTCCTTCAAAAATCAGTGCCCGTTATGTTCAGCACGGGCTTCCGCAACTCATTCTTGCTGAGAGCGACCCACAAGAATGACTGTCAAGACTCAGTCATGAGAACAGCCATGTTTTATGCAGGTTTATGCAACCACGACGACAGCACAGCTTCAAATGAGATGCAATTAGACAGGTTTGTTACAGTGACATCTCCCCACCCTCCCGAGTAATCTGAGACTCACCCCTCATCCTTTCTACAGTTTATAACACCTATTTCCCACACAACAAAACACTTTGGAGGGGGAAAAAGCTAATCAGTTCTGTTAAAAAGCATGCAGGTTGGGAATACACTCATTACCTGCTGCCTGTTTGCTCACAGCTTGGCAGTATTAAGGGATCTGTCATCAAGATATTTAAGAAGTCACTTTTAAGACAGATCATAAGGATGACTTGATTCTCCTACTGTTCTCTCCCCTTCTGTTCCTTCCTTTACTCCCACTTCAGCAGCCAGTAAGTCAGACTGTCTTTTTAATCAATTACTTCATTTGCTGAGTTCACATTTTGCTAGAGAAAGCTAACAGAGCCTGCCCTGAGGACAAACCTGGGTAAGAAGCGCATCATGATGTCACCATCCCCAGTGGCTGCAGCTCCTCCGGCTGTACTATCCGCATAGGATCCCGCTCCAGCTATCGGAGAATCTCCTACACGCCTGTAGTGAACAATGGAAAAAAACCAAAAACTAGAAACTATAGAAAACTGTAATTTACTAATTCCAGTGGGATTCCATTAATGTAACAGCTCTTGGCCTGATATTGGCACGTTCTTATGACTTGGGCACACGTTTAACTTTGTCAACCGTACTGCCTCCAGCTGGGTTAGCATTAAACCCACAGGAGCACAGGTAAAGAGGTCACTCCACTGCGGTCAGAACTCGTCTTAAAACTACTGATTAAAGTGATCTGTGATAACCTGACTGACCTGAGGCTTAATCCACCTCCAATGCACAAATGTTTGTTATTACACCGACAGGGCAGTTTGTTACTATACTGTTAGGGCACTAAGGTTTAGCCAGTGGGCAACAGTAAGCAGCTGGGGACATTAGTACGTTTAATAACTTCTCCCTAAATCCAGAAGTTGTCTGACTTGGTTGACAGACAAGATTCCTAACTGGGTAGAAAAAAAATAAAAATCTCAAGGACAAAATACAAGCCTGGGGCTCTGATTCTATGTACATTTTTTTGGAGAACGTGCACCTCTCCAAAATGCTTATTTGTCTCTGGTGCCTCATCCTACAAGTTGCCTCACAACCAGGCCAGTTGTTTGTGTCTCTGTATGTTGAATTAAGCAAGCTGAAAAACAAGCAATCCCTCAAACAAACACAAATCATCTTGCAACTGAATCAGTTTTGCGGTATTAGAATTTATGGCAGTGCCCAGAAATAAGCAAGGCCATTTTGTGATCATTGCAGTCTAAAACATATAACCTTTAGATAAGCTTAACATAGGAAGTGAGGTGGGGAAAAAAAAAAAGCTTTTTTGTAAAACTAGAGATACTAACCCTGGAATTTTGTGGACTGCACCGTTAGTAGATGTCCCAGAAGCAACAGTTCCGCTTGCACCAATTACAACCATACCTAAAATTTTCAACAGGGATGAAACATATTCAGGAACACTCCCGACAAATTTATTAAATTGGCACTATGGTTATCAAACAGAACCCCAATACCCAGACTGTTCAAGCTACTGATATCCTGAAACACAGAAAAGATGTACTCTTAAAAAAACCCCAACATGTTCTTTTCAAAACACATTTGGAAACTTTTTGGATGTATTACAAGAGCTCAAAAAGGAATCTAAACCATTGAGTGCCACACTGTTCAGAGCTGTATGTTACTGCAGCCGAAGAAGCCACTGTCTCCTGATATACACCTGCATTAACCAGTAGAGAACAAGCACCCAGTGTCACCACATCCTGCACCGGTACCATCAGAACAACAAAGTCTGGAAATTATCAATGGTGCTTGAGGGGGATAGAAAAAAAAAAAAAAAGAGTCAGAAAGATGAGCTTAAATTTGGCAGAAGGTGACATACTGCCTACCAAAGTAACAAGAATTACAGGACAGGCAATCCAATGTGTGGATGAGCCTATGCCTTGCTAGTTCGGTGCTGATAAGGAAGCTACTGCCTCACACCAGAGAAGCTTAGATTGTCCCTTGGAAGAGGATTTGGGATCAGCTGCTTCTCCATAGAGCAAGACTGCACCTCTTTAAGAGAGGGCAGAAATTGCTGCTGGTATCAAATTCCAGTACAAAATGAGAGCCAAGAAGCAGAATTCAAGGAGCTGAATTGCGGTCCTCCGACCTCACTAAGCAGTACCTCCTTCTCATAGGAAGGCTTCCTGACCAGTAGCAGCTGAAAGCGTAGAGGCACTGACTCCGTGGCCACTGTTAACCTCTGCAAAGAGACTGGAAGGGTACCAGTTCCTACCAGCTTCCTAAATGCTTTCTGAATGAAGACTCTTCTCAAAATGTGTTTGTCAAGGAGACATTTTATATATAAAACAATGGGGTGGGAGACCCTGAAACACAAATATAAGTGCCATCATTTACTACTAAATAGCTTAGGACTACTTAATGATACATCAATTCCGGAATTGTATTTATTTAGCCGATTCCCCTCTCATCCTGACACTCCAGTTTCTGAGTATTCTAGCACATACTAAAGACTGTATATCGCAGTAAAGAAAGCTACCTACCAACTTAAGAATTTGGTACGTTTCCTGACTTCTGTAGAACGTTAATTGCTTATTAGTAGAGTGGACTAGAAGCAAAGAAGAAAGATTCACACTTGAAACAACTTTTCAATTCTTGGTATTGCAAATACTGTCAGGCAAAAAGTTCTGAATTGCTAAACTGAGAAAAATCCAGACTAAACCAAGAAATGCAAGTTTCAAGACTACAAAGCATAAAGCTTTGAAAGACATGAATCTGTAGCCGCTCCAGTCCTTTGTCTGATCTGCTCATTAATCAGCTTATAGGCTTAGCAATTAACAGTCCTCAATCAGTAAACTCTTAGAAGTTTGTGGGACTACTACTGCTAACCTGTTTTAAGCACAGTAGTTTCTGTAGAAATTTACTGATTTAGTCAAAAGCCAGAATAGAAGAAAAATGAAAGCAAGCTTTAATTTTTAAGTTTAAGGACTGTTCAACAAACATTGCTTTTGGCTGGCAACAGGACTAACTGTTTACTCATTTCTTCCACCACCACAAAGCCTTTTAAGTTGTCCTGACAGCGCCAGGGGAGGCTTGACCTAAGTTAACCATAATCAAGATAAAAATAATTATTTTTAACCTTGATCAGTTTTCTAAGCATCCATAGCTGCCCAGGCAATTATGCCAAGGTATCTGAGGGAAAAGCAGTAGAGCAGTGAACAAATAGCTAAGGGCAAAAAATGAAGCAAGTGGCTGTGCAGCCAGTGCACTGGAAAAACAAAAACAAATCCTACTTTTAGGCACTCCATCCTAACACATAAGTAAAAGAACCTTGAAACCGCTATAAACAGGAAATAATGCCTATATGAAATACTGTTCTTTAAACTCAGTATGATTTAATCTGTAGGGGAATAAGAAAAAAAACAAATCAACATCAGAGTTACCAAACGTTATTACCAATAGTATCATGATTATGAACGCTTCTTTGTGAGGTGGTCTCTTCTTCTTTATAAGTTACTTTTTCAGGCCGTTTGTATGGTCCACAGGATTTTGAAGAGTCTGGTACGACATTCTGTAATTATTTTGTGATTTGAATGAATAACACATTATGCTTCATTACAGATAAATTTAAAAATACTACAATCAATACCTATCATCTACTATACAGTATCAGATGCCCAATACTTAAATTATAGAGCTGTACTGAAATCCCACAAGTTGTGTCACTTAAAGAATAAAGACTGACTTCTGGTATTATATAGTAAAAAAAGAAACTAGAAAGTTACGTTCTTCAAATTAGCGAGTTTCTTTCGCTCACTTGACCGGTAAAAAAACAAAAACAAAAACAAAACAACAAACTCATTCTTCAGCAAAGTGAAGAAAATTTTCAAGCTAAAAAAAACAACCAGATGAACTGAGCTTGTTTTACCAATGACAATAATATCTTGACTAGACAAGTCAGTATATAGTCAAGGTATTTTCCCAACAGAAAAACAATTACGTATTGAATAAAAATGGTTCAGCAATGCAGCATTTCATATCCAAGAAACAATGAAGACCATGCACAAACATGTAGATATCTGCAACACCAATCCCAAAGCAAACAAACAAAAAATAATATCACAGCAACAAACCAACCTCACCACAACAGGCAAGCTTAACGGACAGCTGCACTAAGCTGATGCATTCACTACATAAAGCCTAACTATTTAAGGACCTTAATTGCAACTGTAAGATTTTCTTTCAGAAACGTATACATGCATCTTTGAGAAGTCCTTTCCAAATTTAGAGCTAAAAAAATAATTCATTCCCCCACCAAAATGCTACTGCAGCAAGGTCAAAACCAGCTGGATCTAAGACATAAGAGCTAGACAGATACTGTTCCAGAATCTACCAAATGCTTGGTAAATCCAAGTTTGTTCCGTTTAATAAGAAAAAGTGTCTCTTTTTCTTCACATGTAAAGCACAACTTCAATATAAGCTGAAAGGAAGAGGCAATGCTGCATTACTGACCTTCCAAACCCCCCCTTCACCACCACCACTGCACTGTACCTTCCAGTAGTTGGGCTGACAGCTTTGATTAAGCCACTTGGAATACACCGAAAGAGAATTTTGGGTAGTTAAATCTTCATATGGAAACCCCATTCTTACAGCAAACAGGGAGGCTTGAAAAGCAACAACAAAACCAAAACCATTAATTTATTCACGTTTTCATATACTTCATGATAATGCATTAAGGTAATGTTATCTAGAAATACTACATTCTCTATGGAGATGAGAAATACATCTTCTGGGAGCAGTATCAGCCATTATAGTCATGTACAACTGCAGTAACAAACTCTCCCTTCACTGGTAATATCAAATTTCCTCAATTCACTATAACTATGTTAACACATATAAGTTTTACTATTGAAAGAAAAACAAATTTAACTCTGTTAATCAACTGGACACAAATAACCTGGAGCAAGAGTGGCCTGGGCTCTGTGTGTCACAGAAATATTTAAATAAGTGATACAAATAATAGTACATTTTCCTTTAAAAGCTAGTCTTTTATGAAATATAAAGTAACATAGCAGCACAACATTTGCCACTAAAACACTGATACTTGCAGAAATCAATCCACCAGACACATCATAGTACACTTCTTCCTTGCAGCTTTAAAAGTGACTGCTTCCTTGTTTTGAAAATTAATACAGCATGTGTCAAGGGAGCAAAAGAAATACCAACACAGGCAATGAAAGAACGCTGCACTTCTAAGAATGGCTTTTATAGTTAGGGAAAGGGAAAAGAAAAAAGATCAACTGTTCTTTCATCTTTTAGTTGTAGATACCTTTGACATTACCTAGTAACAGATACTGTTGCTAGATTCAGAAGCTTGAATTTGTATTACCAATCCTTGATAATAATGTCACTAAAACACACAGCTGAACAGGCTTCTCCAGCCCAAGAATTTAGAAAAGCCTTCAATTATTTCTGGACAGCTTTTCTGTGTTTTTCTTAAAAACAGACACAATTAAAGTTCCTTTGCACTCAGAGGAAAAGAAAACTGACAGCTTCAATTAAACAGATATTTATTTTCCCATTTCTAGAACAAACAGGCAGGATTTTTGTTGGGTTTTTCTTTTTTTTTTGTTAAGGTAAAATTGTGCTTGTGCATGTTTGTCAGTCATTCTTTCATGACTTTTGAAGCCTTGTTTCCACTGCAGGAAGCAGAGTTGGTCATTTTTACTCTCTGAACTTTTTACTTATATTATTGGCCTAAGAATTGCTAGTACAAAAAGGCAAAAGGTCAGGCACATATGAAACTTTACTGTCTGTTGGAGACAAACCTGAAAATTCCTTGGCAGATGATAACCAAAATTCTTTTTTTCTTCACTTGTAATCATTCTGCACTGAATGTCCCTCACCAGACTCAGTTCTACATTTGCATACATGGCCTTTATTTTTATTTTCTAAGACTTGTCCTGAAGAAATAAGGCAACGAATGGAAAAAGCAGTTCTTTTCACAGTGCAAGAACTGATCAGTGTGGTTATCTGTAGGTGTTCAACAAAAAATACACCACCGGCAAGAAGCAGGACCCAGGTAACTGGAGAACTGGTCAGCCTCACCTTGATCACCGAGAGGAAGATGGAACAACTAACCCTGGACACCATTTTTGAGCTCCTGAAGGACAAGAAGGTGATTGGGAGTAGTCAGCACGGCTTCACAAAAGGGAAGTCATGCTTGATCAGGCTGCTAACCTTCTGTGATGAAACAACTGGTTTGGTAGATGAAGGGAGAGCTACTGCTCTAATCTAGATATTGCGTGCCTTGGCTTCCATAAGGCTTTTGACACTGTCTCCCATAAGATCCGCAAAGAGAAGTTGATGAAGCATTGGCCGGATGAGCAGACAGTGATGTGGACTGAAAACTGGCTGAAGGGCTTAGCTCAGAAGGTGATGATTGGTGGCATGAAGTCTAGTTGGAGCCAGTAAGTAGTGGTGTACCCCTGGGGTCAATATTGGGTCCAGTAACATTCAGTATCTTCATTAATGATCTGGATGATGGGGCAGAGCGCATGTACCCTCAGCAAATTTTGCAGATGAGACAAAACTGGGAGGAGTGGCTGACGCACCAGGGGGTTGTGCTGGCATCCAGAGTGATCTTCACAGGCTGGAGAAACGGGCTGATAGGAACCTCATGCAGTTCAACAAAGACAAGTGGAAAGTCCTGCATCTGGGGTGGAACAATCCAATGCACCAGTGCATGCTGGGGCCACCCAGCAGTAAAGGAGCTTGGCAGGAGAAGACCTAGTTCTGAGGGGCTGAATGTCAGGCAGCAATGTGCCCCTGCAGCAAAGGCAGCTAACAGTGCGGGCTCGGCTCCAGCATTAGAAGCACTGCCTGTAGGCTGAGGGAGGTGATCCTTCCCCTCTGCTCAGGTGTCCATACTGGGACCAGTACTGTTCAATATCTTCCTCAGTGACAAAGACAGTGGGATCAAGTGCACCCTCAGCAGGTCTGCAGACAACACCAAGCTGAGTGGTGCAGTTGACACACTTGAAGGACAAGATGCCATCCAGAAGGACCTGGACAAGCTCGAGAAGTGGGCTCATGTGAACCTCATGAGGCTCAACAAGGACAAGTGCAGGGTCCTGCACCTGGGTTGGGGCAACTCCTGGTATCAAAGCAGGCTGGGGGATGGAGGGACTGAGAGCAGCCCTGCCAAGAAGGACTTGGGGGTACTGGTCGATGAAAAGCTGGACATGAGCCGACAATGTGCACTCGCAGCCCAGAAAGCCAACCGCATCCTGGGCTGCATCAAAAGCAGCTCAAGGGAGGCGATTCTGCCCCTCTACACCACTCTGGGGAGATCCCACCTGCAGTGCTGCCTCCAGCTCTGCGGCCCTCAGCACGGGAAAGAGGGACCTGTTGGAGTGGGTCCAGAGGAGGCCACGAAGATGCTCTGAGGGCTGGAGCACCTCTGCTGGGAGGACAGGCTGAGAGAGTTGCGGGTGTTCAGTCTGGAGAAGAGAAGGCTCCGGGGAGACCTCAGAGCCCCTTCCAGTGCCTAAAGGGGATTTATAAGAAAGATGAGTACAGACTTTTTAGCAGGGCCTGTTGCAATAGGACAAGGGGCAATGGCTTTAAAATAAAAAAGGGGAGATTCAGGCTAGATAGAAGGAAGAAATCGTTTACGACAAGGGTGGTGAAACACTGGAACAAGTTGCCCAGAGAGGTGGTAGATGCCCCATCCCTGGAAACATACCATGTCAGGTTGGATGGGACTCTGAGTAACCTGGTCTAGTTGAAGATGTCCCTGCCCATGGCAGGGGCGCTGGACAGGACAGCCTTTAAAGGTCCCTTGCAGCCCAAGGCATTCTATGATTCTATTCAGCACTGGAGAGGCCACATCTGGAGCGCTGTGTCCAGTTTGGGGCTCACCAGTGCAAGAGACATATAGACATACTTGAGGCAGTTCGGCAAAGGGCCACAAAAATGAAGAAGGGACCGGAGCATCTCTCCTATCAGGACAGGCTGAGAGAGCTGGGACTGTCCAGCCTGGAGAAGAGAATGCTCAGGGGCATCTCATCAGTGTATAAAAATACCTGAAGGGAAGGCTCAAAGAAGACAGAACCAGGCCCTTTTCGGTGGCGCCCAGCGACAGGACAAGAGGCAATGGGCACAAACCGAAACGCAGAAGGTTCCCTCTGAACAGCAGGACACACTTCTGCACTCTGAGGGTGAGCAAGTTGCCCAGAGGTTGTCCAGTCTCCTTCCTTAAAGACATTCAATACATATCAGACATGGTCCTGGGCAACCAGATCCAGGCGGCCCTACGCGAGCAGTGGATTTGAACCAGAAGACCTCAAGTTCCTGCCAACCTCAACCATTCTGTGATTCTGTAATACATCCTCTTACTTAAGTTCTCTACACAGCAAAGCTTTTAAAATACCTAAACTTCAATTTTGTGAGTCAACGTAAAACAGAACTGTGAAGACTATTCAGGTTTGATGGGACTCTAACAGATTCCATCAGTGTTCTTAACAATGAAAACAAAAACTTCCTGTTACTTTCATTAAAATTTTACTGCCAGGAACAATGTACTGGTCACACATTTAATAATGATCAACTAAACAAAATTAATGTGTGCCACAGCTTGCCTCCTCCTCTCTAGTGTCAACCACTTATAGAAATGAAATTTTAGGAGACAGGCAGACTTTCCTGGATTATATCACTAAATATATTCAAATAAAACTGCAGTTTAGTTATTGGGGAAAGAATAACCTCAGCAATTTTGCATCTTGAATAAAAAAAGCCTGCAGAGATTATATATATTAATGTGAAAAGGTTTTACTATTCTAGCTAGCTTTTCTGGTGAAAATGTAAATATTCTTATTCAGAAAACAAACTGTTTTTTCTCTCACATACTGATTTGAAGATTCGAACGTATTCTACTGAAGCTATAGCTCTATTTTCTCTTTATCAATCTTCACCTGGTAAAGACAGCTATAGTTTCCTTTATCCAAATTCCTATTTCCACAGAAAATACATTCCTTCACAAGAAATATTATTCTTTCTCAATTTCTCCACCGCTTTGATTCATTCACTAACATTTATCACTACCTCTGATTTTTTCTCAGATGTATCTTCAGCTTTCCTGTCTTTCTTTTGCCACTACTGCTGACAGTTTCTTCTGGGGAAGTTCTCACTGACAGCAAGGACTCAGCATAACAGCCTTGTCCACATGACTCCATTATGCGAAGAGATATCTTTTTAGGCTAGAAAATATACTTTAAATCAGCAGTTTAATTATTCTGGTTCTTCATCTTCCTTATCTTTTCTGCTCATTGTATCGATCAAAAGTTAAAAATGTTTTGATAACTACCAATGACGGGGAAAGGAGTACTATGAGAATTTCTTCCTCCTCTATTTAACACCTGACCAATTTCTTTTTTAGGATCACCTCTGAAACCTCTCTTACCAAAGCCACTTGTAACCCAATCACGGCCAACTGCTTCAATGAAATAGAATCTGCAAATCTCTCTCTTTTCAGACCTTCTGTCAAACACTGTCTTCACCTCCCTCTATTGCGCTATTTTTTTCCATCAAAAAACTGCTGTTGCACTTATTTTTCTATCGTTCTGTAGACATTAATTCCTTCAAAAATCTTTTATCTTTTCTTATCAATTTCAAAGCACTTGACTCACCCTTAATGCTCAGATTTCAATTTCCACGCTTATCTCCACATTTCTTTCTGAGCAGGCACATACGTTTTAAAAGTCCTTAACTGTGAGCCAAGTAACCTTCTACTCACTACTTACATACCTCCCTGGAATGTACATCTCTCTTGAAACCACTATTATTCTAACAGCAGCAGCTCATATTTTAAAAGCTCAACTATTCCTTCAGTTTGCTCTTTTGTTGGGCTTAAGAGTAGAGCCTGTAATGCAGTATTTTACATTCAAGTTCTCGCTAATATTTTTAAACTAGGAAAGATGGTAATCGCACTCAATATATATTAAAATAGTAAAATATAATATATTAATATATATAATAGTAAAATAGCGTCTATTAATTCTGTTATTCCTTAGAAAAAGTTACTCCATGGTTTTAAATGTGATGTTTACATCTAACAGATTCTATAGTGTCGTGTATTGAATCATCTTTGATACTTTTGATATCGGTGATATTAGCAAAGCCTTGGGATTCAAGTTCATATTTGCAGTGAAATTGGTGGCAAGATCCTAAAATTGTATTTTTCTTTTCATGTCCAAATAATGGACTAAAACCTAAATCATACACACATAATAAGAGAGTAAACACTTCTGAATAATTTGACTAGATTAATTTGATTGTCAGGGAATCGTTCCACCTATATTACCAACATTAATATATAGCAATTTTAACAGGAAGTGATTTAAGAAAAGGGTATGACTTGGAAGTAGTTAAAAAAATAATTACCTGACTCTCCCACTAATAATGTATGCTTAGTGTATTCAATGACCTTTCGCGCTACACCAATTGCATTTTTTACACGTCTGAGATCCGCAACTGCCCCAACTTCCATAGTGTTGCTGGAAACAAGAAATATTTAAAACTTATTAAAAACACAAAAATAATGGTACATTTTTTTATTAGCCAAAAGCTGTTGTCATCTAAATTAGAAAGCTTGCTCCTTTAACATATTGCTTAAATTGTTCTATGCCATAGACAGATGGCATCACACTAGTAGGGAAAAGCTTCATACATATCTTGTTTCCTTTCACACATGAGGATGTTGCTCAAGTAACAATAACTCCATTCACAGTAATATTTTCAGCAGAGTAACTATTTTGTTACACAAACTCATAACATGAACCGCACACAGAAGACAATTGTTCCCGAAGTGAAATCTATGGAATGAATGTAAAGGGAAAGTTTACAAAGCTATAAACTCTGCTTTGCAACTGCTGTACCTAGAGCCGGATTACTGCACTACAGGTAAAGATTCAATAACAAACATGCTTAGGTTCTCTGCCACCAATTAGATAAGCCTTTTTTCTAGTTCCACAAGTTGACCTATAATTTGTCCCATAGTCAGCCCTAAACCAACAAGATCTCTGTAACAACCCTTACACTGAAGTGTGTTAAAAATCACAGGGATCACTCTTTTCTCCATGTAGTTTTCTTACCCATCCATAATCATTGCATCCAGTGTCGTTTCTCCACTTTCATCTGGGCTTCCTCCGTACCCCACACTCCCATCGCACTGGTCAATCTCACACTGGCCACAGCCTCTCTCAACCGCATCCAGCTCAGAACCTCCCAACTGTAATACTCTCCAAGCTGTAATCAATACAAATAATTAAATGTCACCAGTGGAAAAAAAGTCTCCACTACTGCTTTAAAGAATGTTTTAAGGATGGACATGATGAAGATGCACTATATAAGGGGATAAAAAACGTAAGCTAATAGGTGAAATAAAGTAAAAATATAAATATATTCAAAAGAATGTAAAGCATTGCTTTTCTAAATACTGTTCTTGCATATCTGATTAGCGTTTCTGACTGAGAAATTAAGCTTGCTTTCTGACTGGAAAGGTGTTACTAACAATCATCACAACTGCCATACATTTAAATAACCAACCATTTCTTTGTCACTGCTTATTTAAAGCCTCTGGGGGGAGGAGGGGGAGCAAAACTTTTCTCTCAAAAAAAAAAAAGAAGGCTGTATGTAACAAGCAGCCCTCAAAAGCTTCATAGGAGAATACTAAGTGTCCAGCTGCAGAATAAAGAGATCTAAACCATACACTGATCTAAACCTACAACAGGAACTACGTAAGAAAAGAAAATGGAAATGATATGCAAGAAACTAGTCCCCACATTCTTCTGCTCAACTCTTAGTCTTTTATTCTTTAGCACCTAGCTCATGATGCAGTTTCGTAAGACGCTACAGACGCGCCCAATGACATGACTCAAATAAACGGGGCCCAAAGGCTTTGCACATGTGACATTTCACAAGGCTGGACCTCAGGCAAGATTTTTGGAGCTGCCTGAGCTTGCTGCCATTGAGAGCTGCGATCCTGCTCCCTCCTCCCTGCGCTGGCTCTGGCGCTCCATCCGTTAGCAGACCCAGCCCAGGGCAGCAGCAGCAGCTTATAGCCCAGCTCTTTTTGGCACAACTAAACTGTTACACCATCTGAGCCACCCTGAGAACGCTCACCTTCACAAACACCACGTGCAACTGCACGAAACCACCAGCACCAAGGAAAAAGCAAGGCTTAACGCCTAGCATCCAACTCCACATACGCTTGTCTTTATTATAAACTTCAGCGTGAGGAGTACAGATCCAAATCCCATTCACAGATTCGCCGAATCTTCAGAGTTGGAAGGGACCTCTAGAGACCATCCAGTCCCACTCCCCTGCTAAAGCAGGACTGCCCAGAGCACATCCCTCAGGACTGCATCCAGGCGGGTCTTGAAACCCTCCAGGGAAGGCACCCCCCCCCCTCCCGGGGCAGCCTGTGCCACTGCTCTGTCACCCCAACCCTAAAGAAGTGTTTCCGTGTGTTGGAACGGAAATTCCTCTGTTCCAACTTGTGCCCATTGCCCCTCGTCCTGTCACTGGGATCATTCCTTTCACTGCTGCGAGTAGCCTTAACACAAGCTTTCAAGAGCTGCAAAGCAAGGGCCCTGTGGTTTTTGTGACAGCATTTCACCTCTGACCTACGCAACGCTTTACAGGTAACCCGTTTCACCAGCAAGGCTTCCCTCACACCAACTTATTTACAGCCCAGCTGTGGTACAACAGCCCGGGAGTCTTTTAAAACCAGCACCCACGACTAATTCACGCTGCCATCAGCAAACCCGCTCTGTCAATAAGACAGCACAAAACAACAAAGAGCTCCAAAGATGTAATACTCACAACTACCTAAATCTCTGGGGGCAAGAGCGGCTCGCACAAGGGCACCGTTATATACCAGTCACAAGTGTGCCAATCACATAATTAGCAGAGGAACGTTTCTCATCTGACCCCTGAGGGGAAGAGGGCAGC